AAAATTTAAGATATATACATTGGATAACAACTGTACGTTTTATTTAATTATTACTCATGATCATTCCCAGTTCAACACGAGGCTAATCCGGTTCTTATAAATCACAACACAATGGTAAAAGTTAGGTTAGATTTTAGGTAAATTTAATTTGTGTGAGGTGTATTCTTAAAAGGCACCTTAACACTTGAAAACACAATATAATTATAATAGGAGTTTGTTTTCTCCAATGAAGATTGAGATTAGAATCTGCCCAATCTGGAATAAAATAAGGCTTTTTTTGCAGACATTCTGCAGCTAAACGAAAGAAAAAAATCTATTTAATGATATTTCTTTTACTAAATTGAGGTATTTTATATTTATTTCCCAGCATACATAAGGAAAAAATATGTGCATTAAATTTCGTGATGTCATCATACTGCTAGAATTAATTTCAGGATTATGCCAGAGAAAATTTCCTGAAATTTGGAAATATTATTTACTAATGATAAATAAATTTAGAGGAAAGAAGCAGCATTAAATGATATGAATAACGAAAAAATAAAGATAATTACTTAAAAATTTAATTAGAATAATCAACGATATTTTAGCAAATATAGTTATATTACATGGTTATCCTAGATGATTGATTACTATTTTTTTTTTTTTTTATTTTACTGCAAAATGACAAGGTATTTATTAAAAAGAAAAGAAAAAAAAAAGATTTTGCGGTAAAATCCTAGTATACGATACGGCCTTCGCATGATTTTGAAAATTGTCGCCAAAAACAAAATGACCCGTTTACTGCTCATCATCATGTCGCCAAATCCCGCTGTACCATACATGGAGATTATTCTAACCAAAGAACGTCTATGTAAAAAGCGGAGGGAAAATTTGCCAAATGATTTGGCGATGGAACCTGGCAGCCAGAATTTCCCTCTCCGCGATGTGTACAGGAAATTGAGAAACACGTGTTAAGAAGAAACGTTTTTTACGAAAATCCATTTTTAAATTATTGTGAAAAATCCAAGAAGAAACGTTTTATCAAAGAACGTTTTTTCTTGGATTTTTCGCAATAATTTTAAAAACGGATTTTCATAGATTTTTTTTTCCCCCTCAAAATAACTAATCCATGAATTAATTTACTTGCGCCAAAAAATATTTTCTTTTCCTTTAGAGTTTAAAGAAATTTTTAACGATATTCATTTTATGAACTCTTGATAACGTGACCTTCGAACTTGACACCGGTTTCGAGCTTTGGCGACAGATATATCGCGCATGCACAGCTGTTTCCCGCTATGATGGAACGGAGCCACGTCTGTTGCAGAGAGGTTTTCCTTTTTTACAATACATATTTTTTTATTCTAACATTCATGGTACCGTATACTAGGATTAAACACATTTTGTTTTATACAAGAACAGGTACTTTCTTTAGTTCATGCACTGCACATGCGATTCTCGAGGTTACTGGAAACCAAAAGTTGGTGGAAACTTGCTTTGCCTTCCTAAAAAGACAATCAAATTGGAGCTGCGAAAATTGGCTCTATGCCAGCTGCCCGAATGACACTCACGTGATACACAATTCGCCAAAAAAGTGATTTCTTCCGACGTCGGCGCAAAACTCGCCTTTTTTGGTAGGAACGTTGTATGAAATTCCCTGACTTTTCCAGATTTTGACTAAAATACTTAAATTCCCTGAATTTTTGGGTCAATTTCCGAATTCCCTGACTTTTTCTGGTTTTCCCGGTAGCGTGGCAACCATGGTATTAGCACAAAAAATGAAGCAACTTAAACAACTTACATTGAAAGAAATGTTTAATAAGGTAAACAAATAATTTTTTTTATACCCTTTATATCATAAATACTTTATTATTTCATAAATCATGATTTCATATTTTTAATTTTATAATTTCTACATGCCATCTTTCTAGATTTAAACTGATGATCTATTATCTGGAATAATCTCAAATCCAGAACCGCCGAAGTCCTGACAAGTCCGGATTTCGAACTTTATACTGTACTTGTTCGGTGTGTCATTGTATTGTACCTTAACTAAAGTAGGACACCCAAGTCTTTTTTTCAAGCAAGTTTTCTCATTCAATCTTGATGCAAACAGCTCTGAAGCACTTTTAGAATCACACATCTTGTGCCAAAACATTGAGTTAATGCTTCTCAAATTCCTTACTAACAAAATCATCTTCAACTACAAAATCTTTGTCACTGGTGTCAATTCGATATTCACCAGAATCATATTCCTGCATTTCCAAAGATAGTAATTGTTTGACAACTGGCAATGGGAGTTCAACTAATTGAGGCACTCGGCATTATAACTGATGGTAAACTAGGATATTCTATTTTACATCTGCGTTGCTTGTTATATACTAACGTTTTCAGTATGTAAAAGTAACAATCACTTGAGTGATCTTAGGGCTCTCACCAAATCATAGGCATACCTGCCAACCTCTAAAAATAAAAATTCAGAAGATTTCTCCAAAATTCAGAAGAACATGAAGAATTAATATCACGCTTTGATGTTGAAAAAATAACAATTTATACAAATAGAAAAAAGAAAATTATAATTACATTAGTAAATCTCAGTTAAGTAGTAACTAAAAAATTTATTAGGAAACATAAAACAAGAACTTAATGTTACACAAAAAAATTATTGCAATGAATTTAGAGTGCATTTTTGGCTTTAGCCAAAAATTCTTTGGAAAATTCCTGTCATAACAATTAGTTTCCTCATAACATTTAGCAATTAAAAGTTTTTGGTGACTAGAGTTTTTGGTGAAATTGAAGAACGAAACATAGTTTTGTTTTTCTTTACAACACTGAAGACTCTCTCGCACTCAGCATTACTGTGTGGAATAGCACATAAAAACTCTTGCTAGTCTATCATATTTTGGTGTTCCATGAACTCTTTTTATTCTTTTTAAGGCACCAACGAGGACATCAAGTCTATCTTCTCCAGAACTGGCAAAGTCTTCAAACTGTGCAGCAGAAAATTGGTTCTGTAATTCAAATTCATCTAAAGCATCATTATGGCATTCACTTTCTTTAATTGTTAACAAAAATGGAAATTCAATAAAAAAACGAATCTTTTCAAAAGATGAATTTTCAATTTGTCAAAAGATGAAACATCGATCTGAAAAGTTGACCGGCATGATCGCCAGCGCTTAGCAGCATGTTGTGTTCGATGAGAAATGCAGTAAACAAACACTCTGCCAAAATGACATTGGCATCCGAATTCGTAGCCGAATTTGAAAAAAAATCATCCACTTTCTTTGACGTTGTCGAAGCCGAAGCATTAACTTCATGATTTTTAGACTTAACATGCTTCACAATGTCGCTTCTTCCACTGTGACTTATTATGAAGGCGCACACGTTGCAAAAATGCATAGTTATTTCCTTTGAAGGATTCTTTAATTGTTGGAAATTCGGCTTTGTAGGCAGGCCGAAACTATTGAGAATACGGATTTTTTGAACTCATTTCGTAACAACGACGTATTAAGAAAATTCGTAGCACGTGCAAGAAAAAAAAAAAGAATCCAACAATTTACGCTCACTCAGTTCGAGCTGAGTAATTCCCTTGCTGCTGAAGCGAACGCGAAAAAAATAATCTGGCGCCCACAAAGAAAAGTGTGGGAGAAACAAGTTCAGCGCATTGTATTCGTTGGTTAAGCGGCAAGTTGGGAGAAACCGCAGGTTACTGGATTCGAAGTAGTCGGTAGTTGGCGGTAAAACACGATGCAAAATCGCTGAATTGGCGAAAAATTCTAAAATTTCGACCAAAAATCACTAAAAACACTTGAAAAAGGAAAAAATCGTAAAAAATGGATTACGATCGTAAAATCGTAAAGACAAACGCATTTTCGTAAAAATTAAGAAAAATTCGTAAAAGTTGGCAGGTATGCATAGGTATACCAAATGAAAATTTAGAACATGTTCCTTTCATCCACATCTGTAAACTCCTGACACACTGCTTGCACACTTTGTAAGAGAACCACAATTTATGTCTATCACCAATTTTCACTTTAAAACATGCAAAATAGCCCAGCCCAATAGTACTTCCTATGATCTATGCTTGATGTCAGTTACATAAGGTGTAGAGAAAACAACTTGACATACTAGAAGAAAATCAGCATGCCTATTTAAACTCTAAAACAACTCAAAAATTTAACTCAACAGAAATTGTGTTACAAATTGTTCCCCAGTGTAATACTTTTGCAGCAGACAAAAGTCCGTTTTTACATTTAAAAAGAAACAACCATATTCTTCCACTCCAATGTGTGTAGAGGGGCCAACAAACAAAATAATGCTTTTTAGTTGCTGTGCCTAACCACCGGGACCTGCAAGAGCTTTGCTTAAACTTTTAACTGTCATGCCCGAGGCACTGGTGTTCGAAAATGTCACACCCGAGTATTTCTCAGGGTAATTTTTTTTTTTTTTTTTCTTTTGAGTGCATCGTATTGTCATACCCGAATATATATCGGGAGATGTTTATTTCGGCTACATTTGGTTTTTCCAATAAAAAAATTTTACAATTTGTGTACCAAATCATCAAAATAACTTGACAGTTAAAGGGTTAAAGTTATTGAAGAAAATATTATTGATGGCACTATAAATATGCTGGAAAGGGTGTAACAATGAAGAATTAAAAGCATTCGGGTTTGAACATTTCCATGTTAACAAATTCCTCAATTCCGATATTGGTTGTCATATGCAAACTACTGATATTGGTTGTCATATGCAAACTATTGAAAGTTTATGGCAGCAGTGCTGTGAAAAAAAGCAAGAGTGGCACTGCCCATAACCAATTAAATTTATTTTATTGTGTTTATGTGGCAGTAACTGCATCCTAAAATATAAATATGCTGACTGAAATTTGTTAATTTTTATTGCTTTGAATTTTCTGCTAAATTGTCAGTGTATGACAAAATCTGAATCCAACCCCAATAACAAAAAGTAGCAGAATATTTTGTAACTGCACAAATTTGAACCACATAAAATATCATTAAACTTACTTATCAGATAACTTCAGACTAGGAGTAGGCTGAGGAAGCATAAAATTCTTTTTTGAGCGACTAGATGATGATGGCCGACCAGGAGATCCAAATTCTCCAATTGGAACTAAACGATTACAGATAAAAATAACACAATTTAACTATTTTGTTTACTGTAATATATATATTCAATACTAGTACTAGGAAGAAAATACAAAAAATTATAATTTTTTTTACTAAAAAGCTTAAACAAAATGACTTTTTTGCAGACTCCTCTCATTATAATTTAATTTCTGCATGTAAATGAGACAAATGCAAGCCAATATCATCACTTGGTTAATTGTTAAAGTTAAATCCCCCTTAAAATTCTAGTAACATAAATACTAGTACATAAAGAAATAATCCTCAGAATTATATTTCTTATTTAATCAACAAGAGATCAGAAATCCTATAGCGCGCAACATATCTCAGAACGCTGCACATTATAAATATGCTTAATCACACACACATACACACAAAATTAAAAAAAAAATTAATAAATAGCACACAACATTTAAAGACATACACAACAAGTTTAAAATAATGAGAAATTCAATTCTAGACAGGGATAAATTTTAGAGAATGGATTATTACATAATCTATCATATGTCTTTCTCGTTCTTGAAGCAGAATTATTTTGTAGTAGGCCCAGGTTCAAATCCTAAGATAATGACTGCCTCCAAAGCATTTCTGTGGCTTTTTTCAAGTGTAATGTTAGAAATTCCTTTATGAAGGTATTCCCTTCTTTAAGTAGATATCCTTTATACTTTTGTCTTAAAAATTAACCCACCAATCTGCAGTTATTCTATTAAACTTCATATTCTTAGCTCTAGAACTATGGAATTTATCAAATTAAAGAATTTCAGATATTTTTCTTTTTTAGAACAGCTCTAAAAAATTTAGAATTAATTTTAATGTGGAAATGAATCATAAATTTGATAGAAAACACAGTGAAAGTCTACACCAATTAGAGCATTAAACAAAGCTTTCATAATCAGAAAAGACCATTTAATATACACTCATGTCCATAAATTAAGGATATTTCGGAGTCACGCGGAAATCGAACTCTAAAATAAATATATCACCTGTAAAATCACTACACACATCTTCAAGAATCATATGCAAATTTAGGAAGTAACCAGATGACACCGATGGTACGTTACAATGACGAGATGTAAGAAGAGTGATATATAAGGGATACAGGCAAAGAAGTAAATTGTTCGCAGGCACTTTATAAGCATTTCAGTGCAATAACCGAATAGTTTAGACCACAAAGGACGCATTTGGATGATTTTTTTACGTGGTAGAATTATCGGCCGTCTGGAATGTTGGCGTACCCAACTGGAAGTATCCGACGAACATGGAATTGCCCAGAGTTTCATCTCCAGGCTTTGGAAACGATTCCAAGATGATGGTAATGTGAGCAGACGTTACAGCACAGGTCGCCCCAGAGTTATAACACCGAATGAGGACCGGTATTTGTCAGTTACTGCCAAAAGAAACAGGCGGAGCATAGCCTCAGACCTGTCTCATCAGCTCTCTTCAGCCACTGGTATGACAATTTCAACGCAGACCATGTACAGACGCTTAGGGCAGATTGGTCTATATGTTCGTAGACCTGTCAGATGCGTTCCACTTACTGCAACTCACTGTCGCCTGCGGTTAGCCTGGAGTAGAGAGCATGCATTTGTGGAAACCGCAACAGTGGGCTTGTGTGATGTTTTTCCGACGAGTCCAGGTTTAGCTTGCAGTCTGATTCTCGCCGGACTTTCATATAGAGAGCTCCAGGTATTCGTTACCACCAAGAAACATCATTGAACGACACCTGTTACGGTGGTGTAGGAGTGCTCGTTTGGGGTGGAATTATTCTGGGTTCCAGAACTGACCTTGCATGTTCAAATTGGAACCATGACAAGCCAAATCTATCGGACGTCATTCTGGAACAACATGTATGTTTGTTTCGGGGTGCCATGGGCACACAATTTGTGTTTATGGATGACAACGCCAGTCCTCACTGTGCAAATATCGTAAGCGAATGCCTTCAACAATCGGAGGATATCACCCGTACAGACTGGCCAGCACTCTCACTCACACGACTTGAATCCAGTTAGAAGCACGTGGGACATGCTTGGCCGATGAGTTGCAGCCCGTCAACCTCCTTCCTACATGTCTACTACGGAACTTCGGAGTGCAATGCTTTTTGAGTGGTGTAATATCCCCCAAGATCAGATCGATAATTTGATACTCAGCATGCCTAGGACGTTTGTACGGACTGTACTTGCATCGTCTGGGAGACATACAATGTATTAACAATCAACCAACCATGTAATATTGGTTTTTTGTAAATAGGTTTTTTTTTTCTGGTAATTTGCTCCAGGGAGAAAAAATCGCTAATTTTTTTAATAATATCAAACATATAGCATCTTTTTTTGCTCTTTACCTTTGTTTAATAAATAAGCTTTACAAATAAGTCAAATTTGTTTTGCTTCTAACTCTTGCTTTGCCTGATTTTGCATTATACTTAATTTATGGACATGAGTGTAGTTTAAAAGTTGGAAATTTCTAACTAATATACTGTTAACAGCTAATTAAGTCACCAAATTTTTCACTGCCTTTTGACAAAGAAATGCACAAATACAGATACATTATATACAGTATCCACTAAAAACACTATATGAGATCTCTATTCTAAATAAATGAGACATTTTGCATGAAGTATAAATAACCGTTACATTATCTCCGAACTTGAGTTTCCTGGAAAGTGGATAATTGGACTCAACTTTGTGTTGTGTCACCAAACTTATTGTTATGCAAGCAGTGAAGAACAGGCAGCTTTTCGTGAATTTCATTTATTATTCCATCGATACTTTATGCAGACAAAACAGGAACATTAATAAAAATCCGTCTTCAATCTCAGTACTTCCTTAAATAATTTGCACACATAAAGTGACTCTTATCGGTGCTTTTATAGCACTGATTGCCTAGTCCGCTATGTTTGCTTACTGTTAAAGACATATCAGCTTTTTTTTAAACAAGTCACTACATAGCAGTATTTTGTCTTGCTTACAGACACATTAATTATCCAATCTTGTTTAAAACCAGTTCCAGCACACTAAGTTCATTCATAAACCATAATGATAACCCATGCAGGAATTTTCATTGCTGATTCATCTACCAAGAAAAATAAATCATTCCAAGGAAAACAAATTTCAGATTGAATACAACTGTTATGATCAGTATTTACACAATAAACTGGGTCCTGTTTCAAGTTCACTATAATGAAACTTTAGGCTTTTACACACAAATAATAGTTTTTAGCATATATATCATATGATGGTTTTCATTACTGATCATATCATGGTACCCTGGTCTCATCTTTGTTTTTAAATAACGAAAGATTGATTGGGATTCCAAAAGAATGGCAAATATTTTTACTAACAACTTCAAATTAAATAAAATAAGATACTTCCTGATTACCCACATCCCTCTAAAAAGTCCTGACGACAGATAAAAAAATACTAAAAGTATATATATCATCAAAAAGTACTTATGCAGCAACCTGGGTATGCATGCAGCACATGTGTGCAAGAAGATTTGAACATGTGAAATTCAACAGTTAAGTTTTCTGATTAGTATTTCTTTTTGCAATGAATATATTTGTTTTCATTGTAAAATATCATAATGAAACGGTGGACCTTGCTTTCTTTTATTTTCTTACATTGGAGTGTATGTTAAAGTTTCAGATGTTTTTGGGTGATTGTGATGTCTCAATACACAATGGCAAAGTTGTACCCAATGCTAAGTTTGTGCAATTCTCTGACTTTTTTTAGTGAAATCAGTTTATATGTTAAAAACAGTAGCGCAAAAAAAAAAAAAAAAAAAAAAAAAAAAAAAAAAAAAAACACAAGAATGATTTCTTGAAAAAGGTGAGTGTTTTATTTTTGTGAATGCAACAAAAATAAGTAAGAATGAAAAAATAAGTAGCACTGGATTCATTTTTTCTTTATTTTACATGAAAATATACTTAAAAAATTGCTTATCTTGTAAAATAATTTTCAGAAGCACTATTCAAATTATTCCAAAGTTTTAATTGATAAAATCCATCAATAAAGTTTAAAATTAATAAAACAACACAATAAAGACCATTTACAGTAAGATGTAACAATATTTAAAATGAAGACTGAGTGTAGTAAATCTTGAAACACGGAGAAGTATCACTTTCTAACTCTTAGAAAAAGCATCACTTTCTAACTCTTTAGAAAATGAATCATCACTCTCATTTGTGTTAGCAAATGGTTCATTAACCATACGTGGGTATTCTTCCTCTGATAAATAGCGCCTTCCTGCCATAATAGACTGGTGAGGCTTTCCAAAATAAAAAGAGAAGAAACAGAAATATATCTGAAGGTAATGCAAAACGTAACAGAACTCCACATAGTAACCCTAAAAGACTGTACATAGTAGAGGGGAAAAATAGAATAAAAGAAAGGAGTTGGATATAAATCAGACACACGAATGTTTATATTAGCACGCGAGCCCACCTGTGTTTATGCTTTCCCTCCCCCCCCACCATCCCAACAGTTGATGAGTAGAATACCCGAGTCAGACAGAATATATCAAACTCAAGGTCAGGAACCTTCATTTCAAAAGAAGTAGACATAGGATGCCATTAAGTGGCCTTCAGAAAAACATTCCAGCTTAAAATGTGTATACATACACACCTGTCCTCTGAATGCAATCTCTAGTGAAGCGTGGATGGGACACCCGTCTGTAAGAGAGGTTCTTAGGGAATGCGTATATGGAATGCAATGCAGCAATTTTAAGAGAAAGTCATGTTGAAAAAGCAAAAATATAAGAATATGTGCATTTAAAACATTGCATAAAAGGGTATCTCTTTTATTTGTATTCCAACAGAATAAATGTAACTGACTACTGTGTTAGCTGTAACTGAAATTCCATCCTCTTGTTGGTTTCGAGAAGCAAAGAAATTACTAGAACCCTCTCACGGCCAACTAAAAGCTTTAAAACGCTGGAGAGAGACATTTCAGCTCAGTTAGCTGCTGTTGTTACTATTGATCGGATTAGCTT